CAAGTAATGCACTATACACACACACACATATATATATACCAAAAGGTTATAAGTGAAAGTGTTGGTCCGTTGGAATCTGAGATGGGTGAGAAAGGAAGATCAGGACAAGGCATAAAGTCTAAAAGAATTTTTCAGTCTGTAGACTTGCAAATCCCTGTAACAATAGCCTTCCACAAACAGACAGTTGGTTAACACAAGATAAACTGTTACAGAAATAAAATTAAGTTAATGTAAACAAGGTCCAAAGGTCAGATGGTATTCACCCACATGTGCTTTGGGAGCTCATCTGTCATGATCTGGAGCAGGTCAGATAGGAGACTTTGGCCAGGGTTGTTATTTGAGACTTTATTGGTGCTTTTAGACATATTATGAAACTTGAGAAAAAACAGAATTAAGGCAATATGCCACAAAACTGGATACTTGCAAATAATAAAGAAAGTCTGTGATCTCCAGGTAGGGTTGAAACAAAGGCAGGTTGGTATCAAAGGCAGGCTGGTTACAGAGGCAGGCTGGTAACAGTGGAAGGCTGATAACAGAGGCAGGCTTGTAACACAGGAAGGCTGTTAACAGAGGCAGAGGTCAAAATCATACGTAAGAGTCGGGCAGGTTTGAAGGTAAGTCTAGAGCAGGTTGGTATGGAGCAGGGTTGAGGCTAAGTCTGGAGCAGGTTCACAGGAGCCAGGAACTGAAGTCTTTCAGGAAAATCACCAACTTCAATGTAAAGGCCTTGAGGTTAGTTGGGTGTAGCCTTTTGTAGCTGAAGCAAGTAATTAAACATGAGCAGGTGAGATTCCAGAACTAGAGGGAAGGGAGGCCACTAGTGGTAAGTAATAAAATCAGAGCAGGAACTTGTTTTAAAGGAACAGAAATAAAAGGAACATGAGTCTTGTTTGTCAGGATATGATCCTGACATCAGCATAGACATTTCCATATCATTGTTTTTAATTTTTCAGGACTCATACCTTTCAGGATTTCTACCAGAGGTTTGGAGAAAAGCCAAGGTGGTGCCTATATTTAGAAATGGTTCAAAGGCCCAACCTTGAAACTACAAACCTGTGAGTTTAAGATCTGTGGTTGGGAGATAATTTGAAGGGCTGATAAGGGATAATATTCAACAATTCGTTCGGAACAATAATATCATTAGCGGGAATCAAGATAGTTACATAGTTACATAGCTGAAAAGAGACTTGCGTCCATCAAGTTCAGACTTCCTCACATTTATTTTTTGCTGTTGATCCAAAAGAAGGCAAAACAACCCAGTTTGAAGCACAATTTTGCAACAAGCTAAGAAAAAAATTCCTTCTTGACTCCAGAATGGCAGTCAGATTTATCATTGGATCAAGCAGTTATTACCCTGCATTGAAAGATTATATTCTTGAATATTCTGTTTTTGCAAGTATGCATCTAGTAGCTGTTTGAACATCTGTATGGACTCATTCCACATCCTTATTGTTCTTACAGTAAAAAAACAAAAACTTTCCTTTGCCTTAGACGAAATCTTCTTTCTTCCAGTCTAAACGCATGACCTTGTGTCCTATGTAAAGTCCGGTTTGTGAATAGATTTCCACACAATGGTTTGTATTGGCCCTGAATATATTTGTATAATGTTATCATATCCCCTCTCAGGTGTCGTTTTTCTAATCTAAATAGGTTTAAATTTGTTAACCTTTCTTTATAGCTGATATGTTCCATTCCTTTTATTAATTTTGTAGTCTGCCTCTGTAGTTTTATGAAAGACAGGGGTTGCCAAGCTAACTTAATTATGTTCTATGAAGAAAGTAGTAGAGATATAGATTATGGTGATCCTGTACATGTGACCTACTTGGATTTTGCTAATGCATTTGACACAGTTCCACACAAAAGGAGCATTTTCAAACTTGACAAATGTGGTAAATGGAGGACCTCAGGTTTCTGTCCTGGGTCCACTTCTCTTGAATCTGTTTATAAATTATTTTGAAGTGGGCATTGAATGTCAATTGTCTGTGTTTGCTGATGACACAAAACTAGGTATGATAATACAGTTTGAACAAGATATACCTTCTCTATAGAGGGATTTGGATAAATTGTGGGACTGGGCAGGCAAGTGGCCAGTCTAGATTCAATACAGATAAAGGTAAAGCCATGCATTTTTTTGAATAATGAACCCACAAGTCACTTATACATTAAATGGGGTTGAGTTAGGGATAACAGTAAATGAAAAGGACTTGGGAACAATTATAGATCACAAACTAGGCAACAGTATGCAATGTTGTTCCAAAAGCTATTAGGTGCTTTCATGTGTAAAAAGGTGGTAGAATTTTGAGTCTTCATAAATCAATGGTAAGACTCCATGTTGAATATGCTGTGCAATTTTGGGCACCAGTTTTAAAGAAGGGTATAGCAGAACTTGAAAAAGTGCAGAGGCAGGTTACAAAATTAGTTAGTGGGGAGAAACACATTAGTTATCAGGAAAAGCTAGAACAACCGAATTTGTTTTCAATGTTACTTTTCATAGCAACATAGAAACAAAGAATGTGACGGCAGATAAGAACCATTCGGCCCATCTAGTCTGCACAATTTTCTAAATACTTTCATTAGTCCCTGGCCCTATCCTATAGCTAGGATAGCCTTATGCCTATCCCACGCATGCTTAAACTCCTTTACTGTGTTAACCTCTACCACCTCAGCTGGAAGGCTATTCCATGTATCCACTACCCTCTCAGTAAAGTAATACTTCCGAATATTATTTTTAAACCTTTGTCCCTCTAATTTAAGACTATGTCCTCTTGTTGTGGTAGTTTTTCTTCTTTTAAATATAGTCTCCTCCTTTACTGTGTTGATTCCCTTTATATATTTAAATGTTTCTATCATATCCCCCCTGTCTCGTCTTTCCTCCAAGCTATACATGTTAAGATCCTTTAACCTTTCCTGGTAAGTTTTATCCTGCAATTCATGAACCAGTTTAGTAGCCCTTCTCTGAACCCTCTCTAAGGTATCAATATCCTTCTGAAGATACGGTCTCCAATACTGCGTACAATACTCCAAGTGAGGTCTCACCAGTGTTCTGTACAATGGCATGAGCACTTCCCTCTTTCTACTGCTAATACCTCTCTCTATACAACCAAGCATTCTGCTAGTATTTCCTGCTGCTCAATTTTCTATTTATGTATCCCACATATCAAATTAGTCACCTTGTTTAATTGTAATATTGCACTGCCATGAGAGGAACACTCCGTGGTTATTATGTCAGGAGTGTCTTCTTGCCACCCTATTTAATGCAGGCATGCCATTTAGAATGGTTTAACTTCTAACCAGCAGTCCCCAATCTCCACCACTTCTTGAGACAGAGATTCATAAGTTGTGTACAATGAAGTGTGTGATCTCTTTATGGATCAAACCATTGCCACGGCAATGACAATCTGATTATTATTATTTTTTGTGGCACTAGAGCATATCTGTTGAAAAGACAATATATAGCTTATTAGAACAGTAGCATAATTATAAATAAGTAAACATGTACACACAGCCCATGTAAGTAGTCAAACTGTTCTAAAATGTTGTTATACAGTGTCAAGAGTACCAGGCATTTTTAGAACCATAATCACTACAGTGAACTGTATGGGTGATAGTGCTAGGAGAGTTCCTTTAATACCGCATTTATAAATAAAGCAAGATGGCTTCTCCCAGAACTCCTGTCTTGATAACTGTATAGATAGCAAAGAAAGTTACAATTGCACACAGGAAACAGAATGTTGACAGGAAGACTATACCATGTTATCGTTACTTAAAATCACATTAAACTAAATTACTTTCAGATGTGATCTTTAGCAGTAAAAACATAATTTCCTTATTGGAAATAAGGCTTGTCAGTAAAAGCAAAAAATTCAATAAACCACTGTGGTACTCCGCAGATGTGGCCAAAATAGTTAAAAACAAAAAGTTAGCATTTAGTAATTATAAAAAAAACCACAGTGAGGAAGACAGAATGATCTATAAGATTAGGCAGAAAGAGGCTGAGCAATTTATAAGAGCTTCCAAATCACACACAGAAGAGAAAATAGCACATTCAGTAAAAAAGGGGGACAAAACTTTTTTTTAGATACATAAATGAGAAAAGAAAAGTAAAACAAGGATTAGTTAGATTAAAAACAAAAGAAGGAAGGTATGTAGAAGAGGATAAAGGTCAGGCTGACTACCTCAATGAATATTTTTGTTCTGTATTTACAGAAGAAAATGAAGGAAATGGACCTCAGTTGAGAAAAAGGATAAATGAGTCATTTATTACACGTGAGTTTACAGAGGAAGAGGTTCTATTTCAACTGTCAAAAGTAAAGACAAATAAGTCAATGGGACCTGATGGAATACACCCAAAGCTATTAAAAGAGCTTAGTGGTGTACTAGCAAAACCATTAACATATTTATTTAACCAATCATTGTTAACAGGAGTAGTCCCAGAAGATTGGAAGTTAGCGAATGTTGTGCCCATTTACAAGAAAGGTAATAGGGAGGAGTCGGGCAACTATAGGCCAGTAAGCCTTACTTCAGTAGTGGGGAAAGTGATGGAAACCATGTTAAAGGATAGGATTGTTGAACATCTAAAACACATGGATTTCAAGATCAGAGACAACATGGGTTTACTTCAGGGAGATCATGCCAAACTAATCTTATTGATTTTTTTGATTGGGTAACTAAAATTATAGATCAGGGTGGTGCAGTAGACATTGCTTACCTAGATTTCAGTAAGGCTTTTGACACTGTTGCACATAGAAGGCTTATCAATAAACTGCAATCTTTAAGTTTGGATTCAAATATTGTTGAATGGGTAAGGCAGTGGCTGAGTGACAGGCAACAGAGGGTTGTAGTCAATGGAATATATTCGAAGCTTGGACTTGTCACCAGTGGGGTACCTCAGGGATCTGTACTTGGACCCATTCTCTTTAATATTTTTATTAGTGATATTGCAGAAGGTCTTGATGGTAAGGTATGTCTTTTTGCTGATGATACTAAGATATGTAACAGGGTTGATGTTCCAGGAGGGATAAGCCAAATGACAAATGATTTAGGTAAACTAGAAAAATGGTCAGAATTGTGGCAACTGACATTTAATGTGGATAAGTGCAAGATAATGCATCTTGGACGTAAAAACCCAAGGGCAGAGTACAGAATATTTGATAGAGTCCTAACCTCAACATATGAGAAAGGGATTTAGGGTGATTATTTCTGATGACTTAAAGGTAGGCAGACAATGTAATAGAGCAGCAGGAAATGCTAGCAGAATGCTTGGTTGTATAGGGAGAGGTATTAGCAGTAGAAAGAGGGAAGTGCTCATGCCATTGTACAGAACACTGGTGAGACCTCACTTGGAGTATTGTACACAGTACTGGAGACCGTATCTTCAGAAGGATATTGATACCTTAGAGAGGGTTCAGAGAAGGGCTACTAAACTGGTTCATGGATTGCGGGATAAAACTTACCAGGAAAGGTTAAAGGATCTTAACATGTATAGCTTGGAGGAAAGACGAGACAGGGGGGATATGATAGAAACATTTAAATATATAAAGGGAATCAACACAGTAAAGGAGGAGACTATATTTAAAAGAAGAAAAACTACCACAACAAGAGGACATAGTCTTAAATTAGAGGGACAAAGGTTTAAAAATAATATCAGGAAGTATTACTTTACTGAGAGGGTAGTGGATGCATGGAATAGCCTTCCAGCTGAAGTGGTAGAGGTTAACACAGTAAAGGAGTTTAAGCATGCATGGGATAGGCATAAGGCTATCCTAACTATAAGATAAGGCTAGGGACTAATGAAAGTTTTTAGAAAATTGGGCAGACTAGATGGGCCGAATGGTTCTTATCTGCTGTCACATTCTATGTTTCTATGTTTCTATGTTTCTATATTGAGTGATTCAATTTCAACCAGGTTTGCAAAAAATAGTAGCTAAAAGTTTCTGTTATGAATCTTGCCCCCTTATCTTGATTGACTGAAAATACATGAAAAGTGAGCTCAGAAAGATTGAGCTGAGAATTTGTATTTGCTAATTTTTCCCTGAGATTCTTACTGGGATTTTTACATTTTACCCCAGTGATTTATTCTCTAAATAAGGAAGCTGACAATCAGCTTGTAACGTATAGGCCAAAAAGATCCATGTTAGAAAATGAAACTTGGAGATTTTATAAACTGTCTGCTTGCTAATATTTGGTGAACAACCCACCCATTTTCTGGTTAGGGTTATATTCAACACTGATATAATGGTTCAAGAAAACACCTGATGGCACCTTTTCATCAGTTTTTCATAGTTTTGTTTCCCCTTTCCCCACAACTCCCCTTCTAGTGAATAAGCACCATAACATGATTGCACTCCTTGATAAAAAAAAAAAATCAATCAATGGACTGTTTCTAATAAAAATTTTTACAGTTAAAACGAAAAACAAAACATTTTGTTAAAGGACCACTCTAGGCACCCAGACCACTTCAGCTTAATGAAGTGGTCTGGGTGCCTGATCCCTCTAGGATTAACCCTTTTTATTTATAAACATAGCAGTTTCAGAGAAACTGCTATGTTTATAAATGGGTTAATCCAGCCTCCAAAGCCTCTAGTGGCTGTCTCATTGACAGCCGCTAGAGGCGCTTGCGTGCTTCTCACTGTGAAAATCACATTGAGAAGACACAAGCGTCCATACGAAAGCATTATGAATGCTTTCCTATGAGACAGGCTGAATGCGCGCGCAGCTCCTGCCGCGCATGCGCATTCAGCCGAAGAGGAGGATCGGAGGCGGAGAGGAGGAGGAGAGCTCCCCACCCGGCGCTGGAAAAAAGGTAAGTTTAACCCCTTTCCTCGCCATTCAGCCCGGCGGGAGGGGGACCCTAAGGGTGGGGGCACCCTCAGGGCACTATAGTGGTCCTTTAATGCAACAAAATGTTTTGTTTTTGTTCTTAACTGTAATTCAAAAATGTTTATACAGAAGATTATAAAACAACAAGCATCAATCAAATATCACATTTAAAATGGCATCTCTTTAGTCCAATGTGGTTTAATATCACAGTAAAGGTAAAACAGGGCCGGTATATTCAGATAGAGGGAATTTGAGTGGCAGAATTCTTAACGCTAAAAAAAAGAATTGCAAATATTTGTTGAAAGAGAAATGCATTGATTTTAATAAGAAATGAAAAGGCCATTATTTCTAGAAAAATATTTAGGAAGGACCACTAAAACCATGAATGGTTTTAAGAGCAACACAAACAAACTAAAAAAAGAATGACGTCTTCATATATACACCACTGAAGAGCTATTATCACCTCATATTAAAATAAGTGATTAAAAGTCTTATGTTCATTATATTGTAGAGTGGAAGCAATTAAGAAGAGAATTACCTCTGTACATCGAGCTGTTCTCAAATTTTTCATGCAGGATATTGCTGTCCGAGTCCATGTTTCAGGCAGAATGAAAGCTTCCCTAATTTAAAGGCTTTCTTTATACCCAAAGCAGTTACAAGTGAAAGGAAATGAATAAGATTAATAGAAAGCATATGTTTGCATTTTTCTGGTATGAAAACACTACTATTATGTAATCCACATTCTTGACATATAACACCTCCTTCTATTTCCCCTTTTCCTTTGCATTTTTACCTAATCTCTATTTATACATTATACAGCATAGAACTGGGACAGCACCTAAATAGACCTCAATTAAACCCTTAAGGGCCACACAGTTTGCTTAATTTGTACTGAAAGACATGCGCAATTTTTGCTTTTTCTGTGTGTGTGTGTGTTCAACAGCAAATTCCATTTTGACATTGATTGCTCCAACACATACTATATGCTGTTTTTAAAGAACAAAATAATATTTAATTTGAAGGGATATATGCATATATAAATTCTTATTTATTATTCAAATTAATGTAAAAAAATGAAAAAAACAACAACTTTTTTTTACATTTTTGGCAATAATAATATGTGCATAGTGCAGCTTAAGAAAAGTTATTACGGCCGGTCACTTCCTCCCAGCTCCCTCTGCATACAGGCCACAAGGACGGAACAGCCACGCCGACTCCCATCAGCCACCCTCCTGCAAAAAAAGTAAGAAAAATTAGCTGTGTGTGTGTATGTATGTCAGTATGTGTCTATCTGTATGTATGTCAGTATTTGTATGTATGTCAGCATGTGTCTATCTGTATGTATGTATGTCAGTATATGTCTATCTGTATGTATGTATGTATGTATGTATGTCAGTATGTGTCTGTATGTATGTATGTCAGTGTGTGTCTATATGTCTGTATGTATGTATGTGTGTATGTATGTATGTATGTCTGTATGCCTGTGTGTGTGTGTGTATGTATGTCTGTGTATGTATTTCAGTGTGTGTGTGTGTATGTATGTCAGTATATGTTTGTATGTATGTGTATATGTCTGTCTGTGTGTATGTATTTCAGTATGTATGTATTTCAATATGTATGTCTCTGTATGTCTGTATGTATGTCAGTATGTGTGTATGTCTGTATGTATGTTTATGTCTGTCTATGT